ATTTTATTATTTTATTATTTTATTATTTTATTATTTTATTATTTTATTATTTTATTATTTTAAGACTTTTATTAAATTTAAAAACCTATTATTATAATTTTTAGTTTTTTATATACTTTTATTACTTAATTAAATTATTAAGTTATTTATATTAAGCTTATTATTATATCATACCTGAATATTATATTAGTTTTAATATTAATATAGTAAATATATATATATATTTATATATATATATATATATATTATATATAACCCTTAATATACTATTAATACACTATTTAATACCTTTTTTAACTAATAAATATTTAGTTTATATCAAAAAGTATAATATATATCAAAAATCCAAATACATATCAGACTTGTATAATATATATCCAGATTAAATAATATATATTTTATTAAGTAAATATATACTTTTTTAGGAAAAAAATATATTAATTAAAAATATATATTAAAAATTTAATATATATTATTTTAAATATAGGTTATATATATTATATATTATAAAAGTAAATATATATATTTAAAAATAAAATATATTAATTTAAATATGATATTAGTACTATATTTTATTTTAATATAATATTATAATAACATTTATAATTAATATAATATTAGGGCTATACTAGCACTATACTAAAAACACCCCCTCCGCCGGCACGGGACCAGCAGGACCCTGTTCAGGAACAGATTTCTGCGGCCGATCAAGGAACGTCGCGGGTGTTCCGCTGCGTTTCTCACGTTGCGAAACCTTGTGTCGTCCACCCAGTGGTACTTTCAACAACGACTCTAATCAGCACCTGGCTCCATCGCACAGAAGGACATGGCGACTCACCGCGGAGAACCCCCCATACGCCGTATCTTGCCAGTCAAAACTGATCGATATACCAGTGGCTCTCTCGATTACCCCCGAATCGGATTCGCTGTACTTGCCCTTGAACGTGGCGAGCAGGGCTTGGGGGATACGCCGGTCGGCCGGACGGTAACCGTAAACCACGATGGTGACCTCCTAAACACGCCCTTAGTCTTCATTGTTCCCATGGGCTGTCGATGTGAGACACATACCTCCGGAGTGATGCCTTGGCCCAGATAATGGGCTACTGCTAAAGGCCCAGCCAATGCCACCCGTGTATCGCGGTACTTTCCAATACCACCGATGTCGGTCAGAACCACTCGAGCGACGTCGAAGAACCTGGCGCAAGGATCTATATTCTTCTTCCCCATGGTAAATGAGTGTTGTCGGCGGACTCAGGACTCAGAGAACAAGGCGTTGTGCAATAAGTAAGCAGTAGAGACCGTCTAGTCAAGACTTGGACATGAAAAATAGACTGATCGCAGCAGACTGTCCTCGCGGCGGCTTTATAGCCATGGTCACGCATCTTAGAGCAGAGCCCAGAGCATCAACTCGTGGTGCGGATGAAAAATCATCCATCGGGTGGCATAGTTGGTACGGGCAACGCGTCCATGTCTCTCCCTTTTTCGAACCAAGGACAGATACGAGATGTCCAAACGATAGTCCATGTGTCCTTATACGAAAAGCAAATGAGATGGGCGCGTCAGCTGCTTGAACCCGAGACATTGGGCTAGGCTAGAAACAACAATCTTAAAACAATCGATGGAAGCTGTGAGCGAGGATCAGCCCGTTCGAGGCTATCCGACCAGGACCACCTGTGGATCAGGTCTCCCAGCCTTCATAGCTACATGGCCTTGCCGTTTTGAACAGGGGAACTCTAGCTAGAGGTCCTGGCTGCAGGACTGAGGAACATCAGGCCACCGGTAGCTTAACGGCTTCAGGCACCAGGGCACTTGCTGCAATCGGTCATGTGGCACAGAAATCACTGGCCGCGGCTCGTAACTATTGGAGAATACGGGTACGCAATACGCTGCAGTATTGGAGATCCACACCATGTGCCAGTGAGCCTGTTCCCAATGCTGAGTGTGACCGTCCAAAGCTGGCAGCCTAGGATTCAGTGTTTAGGTACCGTAGCCCCACCATAATCTGGCCCGGCTGATCCGCCTTTCCTGGTAAGTAGGGTATGCGAGGGTAACGAGGCAGGGTGCAATTACGGCTAGCCCACGGAGATCCGAAGATCCGTAGAATGAGTCGGGGGCTAAGACAGCTAGGTTTACGGAAACGCATTTCTGACATAGGACCAACGCAATACCGTGCCGGCTGTGATGATTTGGGACGGCTTTAACCATCGTCCTATTCGGCGGCCTCCGGGAGACAACATCTATCTTCGAGAACGGGGGCGTTATTAGATTCGGGAAGGTCTCGAGCAAGCATCGGAGGGATCTCCAGAGGTGGATTTAGACTTTATAGGCCGATCTGGATGAGCCCGGAGGACTATATGGGACGAACCGGTACTCAAGCCATCAAAGATATAGTGTCGAAGCGTGGAGCAAAAGGGAAACAGTGGCCCGAGGAGCACCCAGGATAATGAACAACGGTAATCTTGCCAGCCAGCATTTATGCCAATCC